GAAACTGTCAAAGAAGGCCACCTCAACACTTTGAACACACGGCGGGCCTTCGCAAATATTTTCTGTAGAACAACGTTTTCCCGACTCCTAGCAGCAGCTCTCTATTGAATATATGGCATAAATTTCTGGCTGTCATTGCTGCTAGACGTAGTCAAATTGCGAAGCTGACACTTCAATTCGATATTTGGCTTGCAGAGGTTCATTTCCTTACAGAACTTAGACATCACTGTACCATAATCACGAGGGGCATGCACTTGACACTGTCAAGTTCCCCAGCCTAGTGTACTTCTCTAACTATACACGCACATTGGTTCCCGCAAAGGTCTGTTAAAAATCACTATGAGTCCGAAACGGTTATATTCAAATTGATAATGAAAGATGAGTGGCTGGACTAACTGATAGAAAGTGCTGGGTGCACGAGAAACAAGTTTAGCATGCCAAAACAAATTATTCAAAAGCGTCGATCACCGGTGATCGATTTGGATAGGCGTGGTAACGAAAGAGTTAATCATCTGCCGAGCTACGAACATGACGCCTCAAGTTCTATTCAAACTTCATATTCGACATCCTTTGGTTCACGATGACGTCTGCATTACTGACGGCGCTTGAGGCTGATCGGCTGTAAAGTGCGAATGAATATTATTTCAAGTAATGCGTTTTTGTGTAACTATTGATTATATTTGAGGACATTCCGTGTCAATGTCATTGGAAAATTTTGTTGAAATGCACTAACGATTTCCACCTCAGCAGTAGTTGTCAATGGTAAACGGAACAAATGCCTCAAAAGCGGGATTCTCCACAGAGCTGTATTGTAGAAAAGGAAACTTGAAAAGTTATAAAAACGGCAAATAATAATAATAATAATAATAATAATAATAATAATAATAATAATAATAATAATAATAATAATAATAATAATAATAATAATAATAATAATAATAATAATAATAATAATAATAATAATAAGAGGGGTTTTGTCTCATAAAAACAGCGATATGATTATGAGAGACGCCGTAGGGGCTCCGGAAATTTCGACCACCTTGGGTACTTTGACGTGCACCTAAATCTTGTACATGGGCCTGGTGCATTTCGCCTGTATCGAAATTCGGCCGCTGCTCCCGGAATTCAATCCCGCGACCATTGGATCAGCTGTGAAGCGCCATGACCACTAGGACACCACAGCGGGTGCTGAGGGCAATAATAACGCATTGATGGGTCAAATTTGCGTTGACTCTCGTTTCAATGGTTTCTCCGTAGTGCATAGGCGCCTACGCCTATGCACTACGCAAAAGCCGCAAGCGGCGCCAGCACTGAATTTTCAAGGTGTGCCATAGTTCTTGCAGTCCACTGGTTTCGGACTGCTCTATGCTTTGCCAAAAGCCAGCACAGGCATTCGACCAGGGTATCATTGACATCTCTGGAGTCAGGGCCTCCGTCAGACGCATGCTTGCGCATTTAGCCCGGTCACTTAAGGAAAACTATCAAATGTGTTAATTAAAAATTTGGTGAGAACGTTGTTGAGACGTGAAAAGCTTGAAATTTGGCGAAGCGGTTTGAACTGTCGTAGGTCGATGGCCACGAGAAAACATGAAAAAAAAAACCTTGCAAGCTAACTTCACCACAATACTTAGTGCCGTGCTATGCTGCATACTTCTAGATACCTAAATGCTTTGCCATATCAGGTGCTACCTCGACTTCTACGAGTTTAGCACATAACTGGTCTTAGATCTTGAGAGTTCTAAAAACTCGCCAAAACTGCCGTCCTTATAAGTTCTAAAAACTTAATTCCTGCTGTCGGTATCGAAACCAGTGCCATCGTCTTTCTAGAGCCGCCACTGTGCAATCTGCTAGACATCCAAAGTTTCTTGTCACTTTTATTGCGATTAGACGTGGACACTCTCGAATGGATTTCGCTGCCGGCGTTGACGTGGACGTGGGCACCGGCGTTGATGTCATGCACCGTGTATATATATATATATATATATATATATATATATATATATATATATATATATATATATATATATATATATATATATATATATATATATATATATATATATATATATATATATATATATATATAAGGGAAAGAAGTGTATACCTAAGGGCTCGTTTTTCCGTGTTTTAACACAATAGTAATGAGATCTAACAGACAGTATTGCCAAGGAATGTACAGGGGAAGTTATTAGAACCAATGGAATAAGAAGGAAGAAAGAAAAGTGGATGAAAAAATAAGCGGCCATTCCTGCTCACGGCTGGTTATTTTTCAATATATATATATATATATATATATATATATATATATATATATATATATATATATATATATATATATATATATATATATATATATATATATGTGAAAACGCAAGAAAGAAAAAAACTCAGAAAAAAAGTATCCGGCGCGTGAAATCGAACGTGGGACCTCCGCGTCTTGAATGCGAGGCGTAAACCACTGAACCACCGAGAGGTACCTTCTTGAACGTTCAAACGGCAAGCTATTCATGGCGGGCATCTCAAGGAAGAGGGAAACTATCGTGTTTTCAGCATTATCAGCAAGATAGCGCAGTGAGTGCGCGGCGGCTCTCATCTCTCACGCGTACTATGGTTCGAGTAGAGAATAGAGGGATTTACGCTCGATCGCACGCCCTTATCTTGCAGTGGGGAGAATCGTATGTCATGGCTAGCCTTTGAGTTTCGTCCGAACGATTCTGTTGTAGTTACCGGCCGCACAAAGGTCACTGCAATCGTTGCACAGCCTTCGTTTGCGTAAAGGGCGCGCTTTTCAGACACAGCGAAGTAAAAACTGAGACGCTTATTCGCTTTAATTCGTACCCGTGAGTACGTTTCGTGCGTCCTATGTTTGTGAGAAACGCGGGGCACGTTTCGATCTGCTTGCCATTCTGCGCGTGACCTTCCAATTTGTTGCTATCGCGTTCATTGCTTCGCCTTTGCGGCAAAACTGTGACTCCTTTAAGTGACAAAAGAAGGCTCGTTTTATCTCCCAAAATATGAGGTGCGTGAGGTGCAGGAGCAGCCAGGTGATGCCGTTCGTTCAATATCTATCTCAGCCGGCACATGTAAGGTGTTTCAATTAACTTAGACTGTCAACATTCTAACAAGTGATACGCCTTAGGCGAATGATACCAAGTGCATTCTGTCTGCTATGGACTAGAGTTATGCTGTTTGATATGCTTTTAGTTAATTAGGTAAGATCAGTTGGGTTAACTGCCTTCTCAGCAGACTGGTTGCGTAGTTTTTTTAATCAGGTGCCCTGAAAAGCTGAGACGAAATTTCACAGGGAAAATTGCAATTAGTGGAGTAAAACATTCTCACGAGTCAAAATGCACAAATAAATAAAATCACCAGATTTAGTACGCATGAATTGGTGCAAGGCCAATCACTTATAACAATCACAAGTCGAAAGGTTCCCAATATACGCGGTCGCACGGTAGGGGGCAGGGAGGCACCCTCTCATCCGCCTCTAGTCACCTAAGAGAAGGGGTGTGCAAAGGCGTTCAAACGTATGGCTTACAGCCCCAAAGCTTGCAACGCTGGTGTCGTCACTCCTTCTCCCAATTTGTTCCCGCTATCTTTCCCGATATGTCATGATACCGAAGAAAAACGGTGATTATTTAAGCTGGTTAATGCTCACTACTTTCACAATGGTACAAATCAAACAGAAGTCCTCAACTACGATTTATCTTATAATCACATCATGGTATCGAGAAATGAAACCCCAGAATATAATCATTGATATTTTACACATAGATTTACTCGTGTACAGGTTTCATTTCTTCATTAAAATTCTAGAGTGCCTTTAAGTGCGCTCAGTTTTCCTGTACGCTTGTCAAGGCTAAACATTTCTTTCCCCAATCGTTGTAATGGAGTTCTTCAAGATACTGCATGGGCCTTTTTTAACACGAAAGTGTTTTATGCCGGGCTACACCACGGCTCCGTGACGTATGCTCGCCACGGATAATGACGCTGTAAAATAATTACTGACAGATTGCTAAGTAAGAAACGAGAAAGAAAGTTCCGCAGTTGGGCGTCGAACCAGCGACGTCGTGCGCTTGTTAACCACTACACCACAAAGCGACCCTTGCCGAACACGTTAACGGCGAGCCATATGTATGCACCATGCACCACTGGCGGTCCTCGGAGCTCGGATACTTCAGCGTGCTTTAGTAACCAGTAGCGAGATGGCACGACGGGCGCGCGCTCTAAAGGTCGTGGTGCCGCGCCATCCCGCGCGCGCACCTTTACATGGCACGGTCAAAGTGCGTATATATGTTCTTAGCGTGTTGGCTCACTCGCGCGTGCTTATCTCTGGATTCGGGTGCTTTGTACATCTTGTGCCACCGCCGAAAGTTTGCTTAGAAGTTACGCTAGTTGGAGAGAGCGCGAACGTCAATTCACTCGCTGCCGCGGCCGCGTTTGCGAAAGGAGCGCGCTGCTCCCACACGAAGTAAGAAATGTGACTGTTGTTTGTCCGCGCTCGTCATATGTATGCTCATTTCGTGCATGGTTTCTGTTTGAGGTGTGCGGTGGAAGTTTCGAGCCACTTGCCGTTCTTCGCGTAACGTTGCACTTTGTTACTGCAGCATTCATTCCTTTGCACTTGCGATAACAATGCACAATAAATGCTCAATTACTTCTGCGAAGACACATTTCACTTTTATGTTATACCAATTCCTAAAAATAGGGATCAACTACGTTTTTTTCCTTGTGTCGACTATCCTTGTATTAATGAAGACACGAATGAAGAAAAGATTTCATCTTCATTGTCAGGTTCTTTCATTCGTGTAACATTTCCACCTGTATAGTATAAAGCTGGTGTTCGTCTAATGAATACAATTTTTCTATCTGATGGCAAGACAGCAGCAACCCACTAAAGAGAAAACGGATAAAAGGTGCCCACGATTTTTTTTTTCGAACGTAGAAACCACCGGATGTGTAAAGCTACTTAAAGCGCCCTTAAAGTAGAAGTGGCTTACCTCGGAATTTGAAAGAGAGCCCTCATAGGGTGGATATCGGCCAAAGGCGGTTCTCCCTCGGCAAGCTCGATGGCAGTGATGCCCAGGGACCAGACGTCGCAGCGGATGTCGTACGAGTAATCTAGCTGCCTTTCGCACGCCACCACCTGGAAGGGGAGAAAAATCAACGCTATTATTTTTTCTATACGCCTTCTCATTCTGACTATATGCCGTGCGCCATTACGTGTGTCGCGTGTTTGTAGCATTAGAGTGTTCACCGCCATGGCTACTAGTGGTGCTGACTAACACTACCAGGTTTGAATGCACGTGTGTACCACATAAAGTTCACGAGTTGACGAAGGGATGACTACCTATCTAGCTCAGTTGGCAGAGGATTGGATCCGTAATTTGAAGGTCGCAGGTTCGGTTCCTGCTAGCGGCGAGTTATCTTTTCGTCCTTTTGCTTTCTTCACATTTAAAACGTAATTACTACAAATAACACCCCACATACTTTCCCCGGTTTTCTTGCCTGTTCGTGATAAAAAAGGCTGCGTCTTGCAAGCAAAAACGAGTCCTTAAAATTCCCCTTTCGTTCGCAAAGTAAGTGTTTCCTGCACTTTTCAGAATGTTTCCGCGTGACCTGAAGCTTTATACGTAACTTGCACGAGTGCAGTCGCATGAAAAGTTCGGCTTTTCAGCATAGCAACATTTCAGGCGAATTGAAACATTGAGACACCGCAATCGAGCTTCTTCGCAAAGCTTTTGTGCCTTAAGTAAAACTTTTTTTTTATTTGCTTTGCGGAGAAGTTTGCTTTTGAGTTGGTCATGGATGATGTCGATGTTTCTCTTGCAGATTTGGTGATTTCGTTTGTATCGCAACATTCGTAGTAAATAAGGCAGTAGTTATGGTTTTCCTTGTGTTGTAACTGAAAATTACGATATGGATAAATTGGGATGGTTCTGGCAAAAAAGAAAAGTTAGTTTCGCTGCAAGGAAGAAAAAGTGAATGCGATAGCAACAAATTATAATGTTATACGATGTGAGGCTGGTAGCTATTTCTATTAGATCCAATATCATGCAACTGTACAAAAAACGCGGGTGTAAAGGGATACGGCCACTCAAGGGACCCTTCTCACACAGTCTCTTCGCGTTGACAGCGCAGAACGTAGAGGGGTTTATGAGCCGCCCGCTGATGGCTGCCGATATAGTGAGATAGTGCGCGCGCCAGCGTTGGCGACCGTGCCCGTAAACTAAACGTTCTCAGTTGCTGCTCGAGGACACCCCCCCCCCCCCCCCCCTACTCGCATCTTTTAATGCTCGTTAAAGATCCTCTCTGCTTGAGCATACGACGGCCGGTTTAAGAGGTGGGGGGGGGGGGATATTTTATAACAAGCGCCTAGCTTCCGAACTACGGAAATGGGCTGTCTCGTTTTATATCTGCTTCAGCCGCGTTAGTCGCCCCCTTTCGCGCGCTATTACCTGCGAGTACAATCTACGATTTGTTCGGGGATCTTAAAAATTCGAACTTTACATGGGACATGATGGTGACGGCGACAACCCGTCGCCGTCAATATCCGCAATAACGATAGCCAATAAAATTGTGCAAGCCAGCTGTTCCATGAAACAAGGCGCTGCTTGACAGTAGCATAATGTCTAGCGAAGAAGTCTCCTTATGTCTGTTTCATAGGTACATTTATAGTAACGAAATTCACTGTTTGCCACTTTGTTCTCCTGCGCGCACTTCCCGGCGCATTCACAATGCACGTAGTTTCATGCGCATTCATGGTCACACGCAGGCATTTAACTTATCATCACTACTTCGAGCCATTGCATATTGAAACGGTCTTCCGGATCATGTTGTATCCATTTCTAACCGTGAAACTTTTCGTGATAACCTGATTTCGTTGCACTCTAATATTGTATAACGCTGTTACACCTTGCTTATTATATATATATATATATATATATATATATATATATATATATATATATATATATATATATATATATATATATATATATATATATATATATATATATATATATATATATATTTATATGTATTGAAAAGGGGTTTATTGGCGGCTGTTGCAACTGTGGTCCTACGACGAAACACGATCGGGAAAGAGCAACGGTCAAGCAGATGCCGGCGATAATCAGCACGAGCCGAGCGAGAGAAGCCCAGCACCTACTACCCAAGCGGTGGCGATCTTGCTTGCAAACGATGCGTTTTCTTCTTCACAATTTGCCCCCGCCGAAAAAAAGCCATCCTGGCGACCTAAGAGTCTGGAGGCAGAGGGCTATGATATGGCTTAAGGCGGGCGACGTGGGACGATGTCACGTCCACGCCGGCGCATGTCGTCAGATGGGGAAAGTGGTTCAATGAGAAAATTTACCGGCGAGGTTTGCTCCAAAACGCGGTAAGGACCCTCGTACTTCGGGACTAGTTTTGAGGAAAGGCCGGAGGTTTGGTAAGGAACAGCCAGCCATACAATTGATCCCGGGGAATAGCTGTGGATTTGTGAAGAGTCGGCGTTGTTTTCTTTCTGGCGCTGCTGTTCTTGTGACGTAAAGGTGCGTGCGAGTTCACGGCACTCTTCCGCATTTCGGGCAGCTTCGGACACAGATGGGCATTCGGATGCGTCAGGACGGTATGGAAGGAGAGTGTCGATGGTGTGGGATTGTTCGCGTCCATAAAGAAGAAAGAAAGGTGAAAATCCAGTGGTAGACTGTGCCGCGGTGTTGTATGCGAACGTGATGAATGGAAGAATGCGATCCCAGTTAGTATGATCGGATGTCACATACATCGCGAGCATATCGCCAAGGGTGCGGTTAAATCTCTCCGTGAGCCCGTTAGTCTGCGGGTGGTATGCCGTGGTCTTGCGATGAACAACATGACATTCAGAAAGCAGAGACGTGAAGACTTCTGATAGGAAAGCTCGAACTCGGTCACTTAGTAGTTCCCGAGGTGCGCCATGTCGTAGTATGAAGCGATGAAGGACGAAGGATGCTACGTCTCGCGCAGTGGCACTTGGAAGGGCGGCGGTCTCAGCGTAACGTGTTAAATGGTCCACTGCGACTATGATCCACCGATTTTCATCTGATGTTGTCGGTAGAGGGCCATAAAGATCAATTCCGATCCGTTCGAAAGGTTTGACAGGGCATGGAAGTGGTTAAAGCGCACCGGACGAGTGGAAAGGCGGTGACTTGCGGCGTTGGCAGTCAGGGCAGCCCATAACGAATTTTCGAACAAAATTATACATTCCGCGCCAGTAGAAGCGATGGCGAATGCGTTCGTAAGTTTTGAAAACTCCGGCATGACCACATTGGGGATCGTCATGAAAGGAGGCGCAGATTTGTGATCGCAAGCTGCGCGGGACAACCAAGAGCCACTTACGACCTTCAGGGGCGTAGTTGCGTTGGTGTAGCAGCCGATCACGTATGGCGAAATGAGCAGCTTGACGTCGGAGAGATCGTGGTACCGCAGTGGTTGACGATCCAGAGAGACAGTCAAAAAGGGAAGCGATCCACGGGTCCTTGTGTTGTTCACTGGCAAAGGAGTCGAGGTCGATAGATGCGACGGAGTTGGTACCAGTGATTCCGCAGGCCGAGTCGGGAGGTAAAGGCGAACGCGACAGGGCGTCGGCGTCAGAATGCTTGCGTCCGCTGCGATAGATGACGTGAATGTCGTACTCCTGGATTTGCAGTGCCCACCGAGCTAAGCGGCCAGAAGGATCCTTCAATGTGGCGATCCAACAAAGTGCATGGTGGTCCGTTACCAGGTCGAATGGACGACCGTACAAATAAGGGCGGAACCTGCGAAGCGCCCACACTAGCGCCAAGCACTCCTTCTCAGTGACGCTGTAATTGGTCTCAGCTTTAGCAAGCGTGCGACTCGCATAAGCGACGACGTATTCGGAGTAGCCCGGCTTGCGTTGGGCGAGGACAGCGCCAAGACCAACCCCGCTAGCGTCTGTGTGAACTTCCGTTGCAGCTGTTGGGTCGAAATTCCGAAAAATTGGAAGAGATGTTAGCAGACTACGGAGCGTGGCAAACGCAACGTCGCAGTCAGGAGACCAGGATAAAAGGTCTACGTCACCGCGTAGGAGGTTGGTCAGTGGTGACATGATCGACGCAAAATTTCGCACGAAGCGCCGGAAGTACGAGCATAGTCTAACAGAACTGCGTAATTCTTTCAGTGTAGTAGGTTTCGGGAACTCAGTGACTGCTCGTAGTTTTGCAGGGTCGGGTAGAACACCATGCTTGGACACGATGTGTCCCAAGATGGACAGCTCTCGCGCGGCGAAGCGGCACTTTTTAAGGTTCAGTTGGAGCCCAGCGTTGGTTAAACACGTCAGAACCAGTTGGAGCCGAAGCAGATGTGTAGGAAAATCGGGAGAGAAAACGACAATGCCGTCGAGGTAGCATAGACACACAGACCACTTCAGTCCACGCAGTGTGTTGTCCATGAGTCGTTCAAACGTGGCAGGAGCATTACAAAGCCCAAATGGCATTACGTTAAATTCGTCCAGGCCATCTGGTGTAATGAACGCAGTTTTCTGGCGATCATATTCTGCCATAGGAACCTGCCAGTATCCCGATCGTAAGTCTAAAGAGGAGAAAAATTCGGCTTCTTGGAGGCTGTCAAGGGCGTCGTCGATGCGCGGTAATGGATAGACGTCTTTCCGCGTCACCTTGTTTAATCGCCGGTAGTCGACGCAAAATCAAATCGATCCATCCTTCTTTCGAACTAGAACGACAGGAGATGCCCAAGGACTGTGCGATGGTTGAATGACACGACGGCGTAGCATCTCTTCGACCTGGTCGTTGATGACCTGACGTTCTGCAGCAGAGACACGGTACGGTCTTTGACGCAATGGCTGGTGCGAACCGGTGTAAATGTAGTGGTGCACTGCGGAAGTCCGACCCAATTGCGGCTGAGAAACGTTGAATGATTTCGCGAAGTGCTGGAAGAAATTAAGAAGCTCGGCGCGTTCATGGGCACTTAAGGTGTCGGCGATGGAACTCGAGAAGGTGCCAGTGGGGAAAGGGCATGAAGTTCGGTCGAGGCGTTACTACACGATTTGTCTGGCATGTTAAGGAATAAAGAGGAATCGTGGTACTCCACTCGACCGAGACATTCACCGGCAAGTAGCGTAAGCGGTGCAGAAAGGTTGTTGTGGACGAAAATATTGCTTCGGCCAGCAGTGACATCAACTGTAGCGAAAGGCAAGGAAACGGCTCTGCGGCTCATGAAAATGTCGGAAGGTGTAAACATTACTGTAGCATCGTTATGGTCATCGCAGCAAACAGGGACAACGGCAAGAGAGGCTGGCGGAATTTCAGTGTCTTCACGCACGACGAGTTTTGGGGACCGCTCAAGAGTTTCGTGCAAAGGTTCGTCAGACAGGTGCGAAAATTGAACTTCAGCGCGTGCGCAGTCGATGACGGCATGATGATGTGACAGGAAGTCCCACCCGAGGACAACGTCATGCGAGCACACCGAAAGGACGATGAACTCGACAACGTATATAGAGCCTTGGATGAATATGCGGGCTGTACAGGTGCCGAGAGGTCGAACTGGTTGTGCGCTAGCCGTACGAAGCGATAGTCCAGAGAGTGGCGTGGTCACTTTGCGTTGGGAGCGGCAGAGCTTGGCGACTATAACAGAAACGGCAGCACTTGTGTCGATGAGGGCAAAGGTAGAAACACCATCGACAGATATGGCGACGACGTTAGCAGGTGAAGTGCGAGGACTTGGGCATTTCGACGACGGCGCAGTTCTTGCCTCTGGAACTGCGGCGTTCAGTTTTCCCGGTTGGAGGAAGTGGGTCGGGGACGCATCGGGGACCGTGATCGCCTGCGAGGAGATGGGGAGCGGGGAGAGTGAGTCTGAGGTGAGGGCTGGGGTGACCGAGACTCGGGAAGGTTAGTGTATCCATACTGCGGTGAGGGATAGGGAGCAGGTATGTGCATGGGCTGTGGGTCATACAGTAACGGCCGAGTAGCGTCGTGGAGTGGTTGGAAGCGACGGCGACAATATCGTGCCACGTGTCCTGGAGTACCGCAGCCGTAGCAGATCGGTCGATTGTCAGGAGTGCGCCAGGAATTGCTGACTCGTGGTGAGGCCCAAGGTGTCGAAAAAGGAGCGGAGTGGGGAGCAACTGAAGACATGGGTGGCAAATGCTGCTGGCGGGGTCTGCTGCGTACCACCTGGGCATACGTAAGAGGCGCGGCCACGGGCTGCATAGCCGGCGCATGGGCAACAGGCATGGCCACAGGCTGCTGGTGGGCAGCGACGGGAACAGCCTGAGCTACCTCTTCGGCAATAACGTCGCGGAGGGGTGAGGGCAGACGAGAGGACGGCGGCTGCTGCGTGAAGGGAATCAACGACAGTTGCCGAGCTACTTCTTCACTCACGAAGTCTTTAACCTCTTGCAGGGTTGGTGAGTGGTCGGGAACGGAAGTGAGACTGGAGAGCGAGTCAGCGTGTGAGGAAAATGGCCGAGTCAGGGCGCGCTGCTGGCTCAACTCGTCGAAACATTGACATAAAGTCACATGTTCCGAAACGGTGGCAGGATTGCGCGCCAGGAGCATCTGAAATGCGCCGTCATTTATCCCTTTGAGGATGTGTTGAATCTTCTCCGACTCGGACATGGCGGTGTTCACACGGTTGCAAAGACCAATAATGTCTTCGATGAAACTGGTGAACGATTCAGATGGCTTCTGTGCGCGAGTCCGCAAGCGTTGTTCGGCTCTGGACTTGCGGACAGCAGGTCGGCCGAAAACGTCAGCAAACGACGTTTTGAAGATGGACCACGTCGTAATGTCGTTTTTGTGGTTGTTATATCACATTTCGGCCACGTCAGTGAGGTAAAAGATGACGTTAGTCAACTTGTCTGCGTCATCCCATTTGTTGTTTGCGCTCACCAGTTCGTAGTTAGCGAACCAGTCTTCCACGTAGGTCTCATCAGCTCCGCTAAAGACCTTGGGGCTCTCGCAAACGAAGAACGCCGGGGTTGCTGGGGGATGGAGTGGAAGAGCCAGGTTGCGCGTTGTTGGTAGCCATGATGGGAGGTAGCGTTCGGTTGCGCAGCTCCAGGTTTAGGCGATGGCGAATGGCAGCACCCAGGTTCAGGCGACGGGGAATGTCAGCACCCTCCACCAATTGAAAATGGGTTTATTGGCGACTGTTGCGACGGTGGTCCTACGACGAAACACGATCGGGAAAGAGCAACGGTCAAGCAGATGCTGGCGATAATCAGCACGAGCCGAGCGAGAGAAGCCCAGCACCCAGTACCCAAGCGGTGGCGATGTTGCTTGCCGACGATGCGTTTTCTTCTTCACAATATATATATATATATATATATATATATATATATATATATATATATATATATATATATATATATATATATATATATATATATATATATATATATATATATATATATACAGGCTGACTTATGGCTGACAGGCTGACTTATGGAAAAATATAGATTCACTATTGCAAGAAATATTTACGTCATGCCGCGGTGCACCATGGTGATGAAATCTTTAGTAACTGTAACGAACCTAGTACCGGGGGAAGCACAGGCTGGAGTTGAACTACACACGTCGGGAAAAACCTAAAAAGGAATCGACACTTGGCCGAAGTTGGCGCTTGCTGAACACCTTGATTGAGGTTGCGCGAAAACAAAACAAAAAAAACGTAAACTTAGACGTAACACAGTACAGCGCCCCAATCAATAAGTTAAACACTACTACAACTTGAATCATCAAGGGAACATGTTCTAGGCATCATTCACCGCGCAGGGCTAGATCTGCGTGAAACCTTTTATATCCTCCTGCTCCTCATCTATAGATTTGGCATGTTAGATCGTACCGCGAACGTTATGGATTTAATCAGCAATAAAAAATGTGGAAATTGACTATCCATGACACTTTATGGCTGGTAGTGTGGACCTTACAGGATTCGGTATTCCGAATTATCGTGTTCAAAACTAGGCTATCGCTCTTATAAGCGTCGCTTTCACTGTATTTTTGCTGAAGCTGGTTTTGCCGCATTACAGCAATGTGCAACGGTGAAACATGTAAATGTAATGCAGTGAAGCATGTAAAATTGCAATGGGGACAGATACTACGAGGTGTGAAATGACAGCAAATGAAGAGTTATTTTAGAGAGTTGGTAGGGACAGGGGGCACACTTGTTTATTTCGCGTAATCAAAAAGTCACAGTTGTGCTGCAATGGTGAAGCAATGAACGAGATAGCAACAAAGTGTCATGTTACAAGACGTTACTATTTTAGGCAGTGTGCACCGAGAGAAGTGACCTTCGTTCGATCGATCACTTCAACGCATATTTTGTGATGACGGCACCACACGTACAAAGCTATGAGCCGTCCGCTGATCTCCAAAGATACAATATACAACGGGTGTGACCGCGGGTGAATCACTCGGTCGATCAAAGTACGCATTTCTTGCCGGACCCCCGCAGCACCTCAACGGCTCTTATCTCCTCCCACCTCCATGCGCCTTTCGTACAATGGACATGGCTGGATTGTTTCATCTCTGCTCAAACGGCGCCCATCGACAGCGTTCGCCGCGTGCGCTCGCGCATAAAATATACGCCGGGCGGGGCAATGTTATCGATTTAGCACATTATGTGGGACATAATGGCGCTAGCGTCGTAATGCTCTGCATAATGTCTAGAAGTTTTCACAATTGCCGCCTGGAGAGTCCACAGTATTCCTGTCGCAGTTATTTCAGTCTCAAAATGCTGCATGTCTCATGGTTTGCAAGTTTATTTGAGACATTCAAGTCTCATGAACTGGTTACATGGATTGAAAACAACTCCAGTCATTGTGTGTGCTAAAGTATTTTTTTTTTGTGTATAAGAAAGAAGCAAGTTTGCCTCCTCTCATGCCACTCACCTCAGGAGCCATCCAATAGGGTGTTCCGACGGAGGTGTTCCGCCTTCCCATTGTCTCATCCAAGTGAGATGACACACCTGTGGCAAAAGATAAAAATAAATTTTAAATACCTTGTTCTTACTACAGGGCACCTTGATGGTTAATACTCAATTTGTTCCGAATTACCGAGTTCCAAACTAGCGTGCCGCTCTGGTATCCGCCGCTTTTAATGTAGAATTGCTAAATCTGGCTTCGCCGCTATACAGTTGTGCTTAACGGTGAAACATACAAACTGAAGTGCAGTGAAGCACACGAAAAGCGGAAAGGTGCACAAATAAGTGTCCTAGCCCGCCTTCTGTCTGCGAAATGTGTGAACACAACAGCAGTAAACTTATATCAGTTTCGCAGCTACATGCTACATACGAGGGTAAAAGAGAAAGACTCTTCTTAGGAAAAAGATATTTTCGTCTGTGTCTATATACCGCTGGGATGCTATTCTGTATAAGGATTGAGAATGGGATTAAAAGACACATGAGCTCCATAACTTGGGGCTCCTAAAGATATGTTGTCCTATATTTTTATGCCACGGCGTGAATGAATGCAGTCATGAAGCGCCGAATCACCAATGCAACCGTTTTCATGCGTAAGTGCCTACCGTGGCGCTGTTCGTTTGGTTGTTAAATCGACAAAAAGGCAATGCTACAGCCGATTACGCTGGCTTGGAAACCCGTTCGTAAGATAGGCCATAATGAAAGGCTTAAAAGAATAGGACCGAATGTTTGGCTAGTTGTTAAGGTAGCCCTGCACAAAACACGAATAGTAATGTTGTGGTGAGAACACATATTGCGAGTCATTCCACCCGTGGCACCCACTTTCGCAATTTTGCGGTGGCGATGCTTACCGAAATCGACCAGTTTGACGGTGCCAGTGTCGGTGAGCAGAATGTTGTGTCCCTTTACGTCCCGATGCATGCAGTGGTGGGCATGTAGGAACCGCAGCGCCTGCACATATTTTGCCACAAAAATGAAGACCGGTTAGGTCAAGAAAAGATTGCGTACCGCGTTCATACAGTTTGTACTAAAACAATACTCTTCGACTCTTTGTTCAGAAGCCACATCGTCACATGCAACCGACAAGGGAAGCGAGGTGGGTGAAGTGCCAAAGCATTCTAAAGCGCTGACTAAAGAAAATCTCAAAGAACATTATCGAGAATGGCTTGAAGAGGCTGTGCCTACTGATGCACAAAGGCTCATCAGTGCCGTCCAACTGGAACGTATGATCTACAAGCCTTAATTGATGACTCTTTATCGTGCCACACGAAAGCGCTTCTTCAGCCGAGCGCCGTTATGCATGTTTGTGAGCAATATCTCACGCACAGTTGAAAGCACGCACGATTGAGAGAGAGGTTGTCTCCGAGAGATTGTGCATAAATCACAATCATGCAGAACTCAGATAGTTAGTGACAGACAGTGACAACAACGTCACTTTTGTTTTGTTCTACGAAATTTAAGGCAGCCGTAGATACTTGACAATACGAAGCAATGTGGTTAGAGAAGTGACGTTGGGAGTCTAACGTATTCAAGCGCTCGCTCTCTTGATTAGCTCATGCCAGCTGCCGACATGTTCCAGGTCATGATTGTGCCGTCTACTGAAACGATTCGTAGCGCTTTCGCAGGATCTACGCTGCTACGGATGCTAAAGTTCTGTTAAAAATTAAAAAAACAAACAAAACAAAAGCACATGAACTCAGTGTAGCAACCATCGACAGATTTGCAAACAGACCGGATTTCATCTCTTTGGTGAGGGGAATGATTGTCTCGTCTCTCCCCTCTCTTTTTTTCTTCCTTCTCTATTTCTCTACGATTTAAGTTTTCTTTCTTTAGGGTTAGGGTGTATTTCTGCACCTGAAAAACCACCATTTTTTTCAATACATTCTGTCGGTAAAAGAGTGCTTCAACGTACCGAATAATTAACATCGCAGATAAACTGGAGGTTATCTGATTGGTACTTTATAAAAGAAGCGTGGAATAATCTGGTTGCCTTCAGACGGACTCGTACAAATGGAGTAATTCCGGCTCAAATAATCATACAAACACTTTTAATTTGCTGGTACACTTATTTTCCGAACTAGTTTTCGTTTCGGTAACCCTGTAGATTTAGCCTCGAAGCTAATTTTTTTTTTCGTGAAACAGAAGCTTGTACAGATAACATCATAGCCGTGTAGCGCGGAGTAGTGGCATGCATAGAGTTTCCTATAAATACGCTAGAGAAAAATGTCGCGATAGAGGCTGTGGCAGCTGCAGCGCATGCATGGTGCTTCAGCCTGCACGGGAGTGATGGGTAGTGAACAAATTTGCCCAAACTTTGTTCTGTCGACTACAGCCGGCTCCGTGTCGCCTGGTACTGCTTTCTCACAAGACGAAGTTCAGCAAATGTTCAGCACTTTCACTCCACCACCTTAACCTTTCTCGCGAATTCACATCGGCTCAACGAAAGCTCTCAATGATCCATTCCTTGATCCAAAGCAAACGTCACAACACAACAATAAACGTAGTCACAACTGTGTTCGAAGTCGCAAGCATGAATATTGGGCAAATCCGTGCCGTGTACTGCTCATCATTGCCATGGTGGCTGAACGATCACAGCGCTGGAATTCCCTCTAGTAAATGTTGCAGAAGCTCTGTGCCGGCTTGTACCTGAAACGCGTTCGGACCGTCCGCGTCAGTGACGTGCCGAAAGCAAGCGAGGCAACTTCCTGGAGTCGATTCGCAGCGTGGTCGTTAGTGTCTGATGGTTGTCATCGACGTCGCGGAAATGCAACAACTGCCTTCTGTCGTCGCAGTTTTTCCTTATACCGACGATTACGCCCGGCGCACGTGTAATACGCTAACACTTACGTCGATGGTTTCCCTCAGGATGTAAGCGATGATCGGCTCGGGAAGGTTGCTGCCTGACTTGCGCAAGTTCTGCACGAGGTCGGTGACGGAGCCGCCCGTGCACAGCTGCAGAAAAAAAAAAAAAGATCGAGCAGAATGGAGAAATCGTCATCTTATCAGACGACACGAGTCAATGGACGACCCACTTGCAAGGCATTTGACAATAATAATAACAGTGGTTTTACGTTTCAAAACCACGACATGACAATGAGACACGTCGTAGTGGAGGGCTTCGAAAATTTGGACCATTTGGTGTTCTTTAACGTGCACGCACATCACATGGGCTTCTGACATTTCGCCTTCATCACAATGTGACCTCCGCGGCTGGGATATAACCTGCGATTTTTGGATCAGCGGCGGATCAGTATAGCCTCTGCATCACCGCGGCGGATGGCAAGACATCTGATGTTTAGAATTAAAAAAAATGCTAAGAATTATGCGAGGTTTACCAGCCGATGCAATGTTATGTCTGTAGAGATACAAAAAGTACTCATGCATAGCCTGCAAATGCTGAAAAAAAAAAAGCACTTGACCACGATTTCTCTGTAGTCACATAATAAAAAGAAATAAACTCCACAGATCTTTGAAAACGCTAAGTTTAGGAATTTTTAAACTTTGAATAAATGGTGTATTCATGAGGCAAGCCATGGCGAGGGACCCCAGAATAATCCTGACCGCGTAGTCTTTTTTGAAGTGTTTCCAAATCCTTTCACATTCAGGTCATTCAAGTGGACGGTTGTTTTAACACTTGGTCCCATCGGAGTGCGACCACTGCGGCCGTAAAATTAGCCCGCGTGTTCATACAGTGTATGAACCCGTATATACTGTATATAGGCTATATACAGACTCCATTCGCATATTGACAATATATGAACACGTATTTATCCGTCATTGAAACTTGTTAATGTGTCTTAGAAATATGGCGAGCAATTTGTGTGCATCATGATCAGATTTATTAGTTATTGTTGTAATCATAATTATAATTGTCACCGTCATTACAATTGTAACAATTCTCCTAATCCATTTTAAGCATAGAGGAGAGCACAAGTTCTACACAACTAATCCATCCTCCGACTTAGTCCTGCGTCGTACAATAATATTCCAGGTCTGCGTAATTTAATATATCACCGCCCTTAATTTGTCCTCTGATGTCACGCTTAAGTTCGACGCTCTTTCGAATATTATGCTGTTGTAACAGAGCACTGATATTGTGCGTCATGGTTTTCGCGAGCTAAAGCAAAGAAGTTCAAGTGCTGTGTCATTGTAGTGTAAGAGTTTCGTATTGAGATAATTGAAAGTGCACCATCTGTTTGTACCCATTTACCGTGCACATACATTAAGCATTGAACTTTGTACGGTAAATCGCCTAGCTGTGAATGACGCTGGACCTAAAGCTTCGGCAAAGCGACTTGTTTTCTTCAGACAGCGACGTTCCCTGGTCGATGGCTGCCTGCTTCTCATCACTTCAAGTGTACAAAGTCCCCCGAACGCGTGCCTTTTTTCAATGCGCCGTGTAGGTAACATGAAAAAATGAACACGCACACAAAAAAGCAAATAAGTATGCATCAAAAAGTATCTATTTTGAACTTGCGTGCCGTATCTGTTGTCCAAGGTTCTACACTTTTACCTGTACCAAACTATTTCCACTATGCCTATACTGTAGGAAGACTACTGATGACGAGAATGGGGCGACCTAATGCTATCGTCTACGCAAGTCGAGATTTGTCTCTATGTATGTGCATGCGGTTCATGTGTGTACGCACCTCCATAACGAACCAGACCTGGTCGTCCTCCCTGCAGGGTGCCGGCTGGAAGAATATGCCGAAGTAGGTGGGGATGTTCGGGTGGACGCAGAGGTCTCGAAGGACGCGGTGCTCTTCCTCCATCTCCTCCACGTTGTCCGCGATGTTCTCCATGATTTTGACCGCCACCAGCCGGTCTGCGAGCGCAGAATCGAGAGTAGTCACGTACAATGACAGCCTGCTTCTGTCACCTTTCATAATGTGTTTTTTTATTTAATTCACATTAGTGTAATACTGCGGTTGTGCGTGACCATTGAAAAACAAGGATGGTGGGAAAGTGGTTGCCTAGCGCTCGAAGAAGAAAAAAAAAAGAGAAAAGAAAGACGCTATCTGCAGGAGGCGTGACGCGGAAGGAAGAAGAGCCGGAATGAGCATATCATGGAAAGCCATATACGAAAGGGTAACATGAAGGGGCTTGAAAGTTGGCTGTAAAGACATATCGCTTCCTTGAGCGTGTTCTAAGGAAATCTCAAAACAGTAACGGCAATCTCACGCTTGCTTCAAGCTACAAGGGTTCCTGAATCGCTCCTCGCACTCGGTGAAAAATACGTTCTGTGGAAAGCAGTCACTGTTACGAACAGATCAGCGAAAGCCTGTGGTCGTGTGCTGCAAGGAAAGCTTAGAAGCGGAGCTTAAAGTTGCCTTTTAAAGACGATAGGCTTTCTTGGGGAATTTCGACGCAAAAATTTTGGTCTGTCTGTCTGTCTGTCTGTCTGTCTGTTTGTCCATTTGTCCGTTTGTCCACTCTTAACGTCATCGGGTACTTAAAACGGCCCACCCCATCCGCAGCGCCCACCTATGTTGCTCAAGGTTGAGCGCTCGTGCTTGTACAATTGTCAATTAAAAAGCAATCATTGCGCATGTCTGGGGCACCATAACAACACGTATATATTGTGCATGTGCGTCTTTTACTAGAAAAGACGTACATAAGTAATTTTAAGGGCCGTAGCGCTTATCACGCTGCGCTGACCATGTAACGCTTGCACGGAAAAGGGAGTGTTTCAAACGCTTTGCTAAAACGAAACGGTGGTGGCACCTACCCGTCGCCTTGCGTTCTACACCTTATCACCTCTGAGATGGGCGCGCACACCCGTCTCAAAGCCACGCGTTTTGTTTTCTAAGACAACTACAAGATGGCGCTTATGTCTTACGTGTGATGTGACTTGATGCGCTCGTTCGCCTCCGCTGCACGCTCGAGGCACTCTAACGCGGCACCTCCAGAATACCATTCACCAATTTTCTTGGGCAGAACATCAAATAAATGTTTTGTTCACTCTCTCCACACGCAAGACTATCGTCTTTCGACGAAATTTGCAGATTACACGCAGATACGGGGCCAGTTTTTTTTTTTTTTTCCAGGCGCCCTGTTTTCATTCAGAAGTCTGCGCTCACTCCCTCCGGAGCTTCCGGTGTCTGCTGTGTGACGTCAAACAGCAGATCGCATTTATTGGCTAATAGCTGACGTAAACCAAGAGTGGCGTTTTTAATCACATGCGCTCGCTGCCACGAAGTGGCACCACGTGCCGGTGCTGCACAATACATAGTCTGTTAACAATACATAGTCGCCATACTGGCGCGCACAGAAATTACAACGGAAGTGAGATCGAGCATCACGCGCGCTCAATGTTGTAACGCGCGCTCACGTAACTCTTTTCTCTCAAACGATGCCTCCGTGATGTGATCCAGCACGCTAGTCGGCACAAAAAAAATATAGAAAGCGCTTGAAGCTTGAGGCATGTCCAACTCCAACTGTTCTTGTCGGATTGAAGAAACTTCTGCGGCAATCGATTCGTGAGGCAGTAAATTACGATATTGGGGGTATTTGGTGATTACTTAGATAAGAGGAGCAAGGCCCCTAAGCAAGAGATGTCGGTCTCCGCGTATCATGCTTCTAATTAGGCCCAGGGATGGCTTGACCACTGAATTTCCAGCCTTCATTTCCTTTCTACAAGCGGCACCAAGGCAGTTGTCTTTATGTGCTATTTTCGCACTCAGATCAAGCTGAACGCATGCGTTGCGAGACATTTTTGCACGATTACGTATGGGAACAACATGAGATACATTAACGACGCCTGTCCTGCACGACCATGCCAATCGTCGGAGTGACATGTTCCCGTTGCGGAGTCCCTCATCTTCTATCACTGCATTACCGGCACGCCTACCACAATGACGCTACAACTCGTCGCGACAAACTTTGTAGACATCCATTTTAGGAGCGTATACCACAAGTATTATAAAACAACAGAGAAATAATGAAAACAAAAGGGCGAGTGATGCACGGTGTATTACTGGCTGTCCGCGAGGAACTGCACTGTCGAGATATTCTGGAAGAAGGCGAAGCGCAAAGCTATGACATGTGAAGCGCAAGAGCTCATTTCTGTCGCTCGCGTGGACACTCGCTGTGAAAGTACGTGTGGGACAAGCCTATTGAAGGTCCCCTTTCAAAGAGCCGCGAGGCGCCTTTTAACTTAGAACACATGCGATCTTTAAGAGTAAAGGTACACCATCACTCCCCCCCCCCCAACAAACATACATTTAGTTATGTATGTGCCTATGGGCTTCGACTACGTATAATCTTTTACTGGCGATTCTTAACGCATCACGCGTGTCGCGAAATGACGCACGTGATGCCAGTTTGCGGCTGCTTATTTTTTTCACATAACATTCCTCGTTTTCGCTCTATTGACATATCACACGTAAATAATAATATCGGGGCTTTTAAGCGCCAAAACCAAGGTGTGATTGCGAGGCACGGCGTAGTGGAGAGCTCCGAAAATATCGACCCCTCCCCCCCCCCCCCCCACCCGGGGTGTTTTAACGTGTACCTAAATTTAAGCACACGGGTATAGCGCTTGCGCCTTCACTGAAATCGCGGCCGACGCTACAGGAATCGCACCTGCGACTTTGGGTTTAGCAGCTGAGCACCGTAACCGCTGTTCCACCATGATGGCTGCCTATAAATTATCAGCACCAACAAAGTTTTGTTTTCATCATGAATGTCTTTTTTTATGGTGGGGGAGGGGCAATATGAAACGCTACAGCGTTAGGCCTATACCGTTGCACTAAGCGCTTAGGGGACAAGATACGTGACAATGGTCCGACGGACACCAAAATGAATCTATATATAATGTCTCGAGCTATATATATATATATATATATATATATATATATATATATATATATATATATATATATATATATAATGGCCAACGAGACAGATCACTACTGGAGCACCTCAGAGACAAAATACCGCTGTGATACGTGCAGAATGAGCGCAGCACCGTGTCACAGTGTCACAGTGTCGTTTTCCACGTGCTCCTTTGCCAGGACCCAAAGCTTCGACGCACTTTCTTTTGTATAGAGCTAACATCACAACAGAGTAGCGACGGTGGTATGTTCGCTTGCAGCTTCGTTCTTTCTCAGCGACAAGTCATAAATGTGTGCCAATAAAAAACATTCTATCATAGAAATGGTGGAGTGTCATATATATATATATATATATATATATATATATATATATATATATATATATATATATATATATATATATATATATATATATATATATATATATATATTATATATATATATATATATATATATATATATATATATATATATATATATATATATATATATATATATATATATATATATATATATATATATATCCTTTTTATCAGAGAAGCACTCATTGGCGATTTTTACAGCGTATTCACGTAGTCGGTGTGTTCTATACGCACGGGATGTTAACAAATATTTCCCTCTTAAGTCTCCGTATACTATCGACTGCAATGCGCTGATTGTTAATTATATGTGGGGTATAACGTCCCAGAACCACTATATGATTATGAGAGACGCCGTAGTGGAGGGCTCCGGAAATTTCGACCACCTGGGGTTCTTTAACGTGCGCCCAAATCTGAGTACACGGGCCTACAACACTTCCGCCTCCGTCGGAATTTACAACCGCCGCTGCCGGGATTCATTCCCGCGGCCCGCGGGTCAGCAGCCGAGTACCCATAGCCACTAGAGCACCACGGCGGGGCTGCGCCGATTGTTATCTGACAAGGATAATCTTCAGGCAGATGTTGCGAAATCTGTGGCTCCACACAGACTGGATCCGACAATCTTAACGCCGTGTCTACACCCTTGTCCCCTTCTTGCGTCTTCTCAAACTCAACAAGTATTTTCTTGCATTCAATATGGCACAAATATCCTCAGGACGTGCCTGTGGTCACATATAGTAATGAAGCACCTGCGCCATTTACTGTAGTATTTCTACTTTGTGCCTACTTAACGCCAAGATTTCGCGCGCGCGACAGTGAACCCATGGTGTCAGAGAAACCATGGCGCATACCAGTGAGCTTGTCCCTCGCTGCGTACACTTCGCCGTACGTGCCTTCGCCGACCACCTTGACGAGCTGGAACCTGTCGCCCGGTGCCGGCAAGGATAGCAGGTCCAGGTGCTTCGAGATGCCCCGGTAGTAGGCGGCCACCTTCGGATCATGTTGCAGGTGGTGGTGCTCCGGAGACCCGCCTGCGAGTTCCCATGAAACGCATTGAATAATAATTCGTTTTACGATCGTTTTTACCATACTTGGCTCTTGCGACAAACAAACAAAAAAAGTAAAAGTTTACACTTGCCATCGTCAACATTGCGAAAAACCAAGGTTTGGCGTCTTCGTGAAGAGCTGTACTGTCACGCCAATGTGCACGGCATTTGTGACAGCGTCGAATGAGCTTGTTTATCACTTACTGAGGAACAGTGCGTGCCATGAGTGCGACGTGTGCGCTATAAATACAAAGTAGCGCAATTTATCACTGTTTTAATGTTTACTATTTTGCGTGCAGTATGATCTTTCTCACAGGTAAATAGTTTCTGCTGGCTGCATTGTAAACTCAATATATCTGTAGTTAATTAGGATGACGCATCGGGAATTACCAGCAGATTGTTTGATGGATGAAGAATCCAGAGAGCAAAAATATCCGTATAATATAAACTGTGAAAATATTTACTAAGCCACAGTTTGGCCCATACTCGCCTGCATGTGGAGCATGCTGTATGAATTGTTTACAGCGTTGCACGGTCATGGTCCACTAATTAAAAAAGAGTTACGCATAACAGGTGTTTCAACAAGGAATTACCAGGAGCTGTGCCTATTTGACACAGTTCCTTTTTTTGCGTCAACTTAAACCAAAACCACGCGCTTATTGAAATTGCATCAAGCTGTGCAGAAATGTCTGACCAGCCTCAAACTTTTTCAGTTGCGCTATCTTTGGCAAAAAAAAAATGGAGATTGCGTTGATGACCTGCAGTTTGTGCATCATCATCAACCAATTCAATTCAAACGCGGAGACCATAATCCTGACTACTAGGTCAGTGTACCCAACTCCACCACAATGAAAGGTGGACAGCGGTTCTAAAACTTGCTAGCCTTGTTCAGTTGCGTGCAGAGCACTTAAGCCATTTTCGCCGCAGTACAACAGTGCCATGCAAAAAAAGCATACAAAATTTAGACGGAGCTATTAATACTAGTTGCCGCATTCCTTACTTACTCACGCGTGCATGCATTATATAATAATAAATACTGGCATGATTGCTGACGTCTAAAAAATTTACTGACAATAGTGGAAAGCTGCGTATGAAGTTTTTGCAACCCCGAGAAATAATGAACCAAAACATACGCAATTTTCTTTTTGTTCCTTACTCACCCCTGTTTTACGAACCTCCCAAATTCAGAGTTTGCCTGGTTGGAAAATCCACAGCAGCATACGCAGCGCCTGCCAAATGGTTTGACAGGTGCTACAAATGCGTTTGTAGGTTTTGACATTGCTTACATTGCGGGCTGGTTCAACAGACTGCGTTTTTGAAAAAGCATACTGTTTTTATTGAATTAGCTGGTGTTAGTTTGTCGATTTTTTATAGAAATATACCTCATTTGTTATACTTCTCAAAATTTAGGATTTCATGCTATAAAACACAGTTGTTTCTTTCTCCTTTTAGTAACCTCCTCCAAACTTGAATTTTCGTGCTCCAAAACCAAAGTTTTGCTGCTCCAGAAATTTCTAATGTTGTTTTGATCGTTACGCCCTTAAATTTGCACCATGTCCTTGAAAAGGCGAGGCGAGGACCCCTGGAAATGTTCCGTTGGAGCATGTTTACCGTTCCCGTTCATTCATGATAGCCGCGCATAGTCGTTCTGTACTCGGATTACGCACTGAGGCGCGCAACTCTTGCGTCGCCTACGTATGGCGAATCTTGATGTAACTCGCGAACACTATGGGCATACGCGAACGGCCCAGTGTTCGCATTCGCCATAATTAATCCCATTATCACGAACACCTACCTCCACCTCCTCCGCCTGCTCCGCCATTGTAGCTGCTGCCAGTGTTGAGGGGAAGGGGCTTCAGCAGGCGGTACCGGTGAGACTCCTCCATTATCTCACTGTGGATCGCGAGGCCTGCGACCCAACAGAAAATGCATTGCATTATGAGCAAGTCATTAGTAATGCCGCCATGAATGTAGCCAATTATGCTGGCTGACTATGCTATGTGAGCGGGTAGTATTTGAATAAACCGCATATAAAAATTATCTTGGAGTTGTTAATACAAAAATACAACATTGTAGAGCAGTAAATATACAATTGAGAAACGCGTCTTGCAGACGGACAGTTCCGGCTAAATCCAATATAAAGCAAGAGCAAGTGAATAAGCAGGTCCTCTCATGCCCAACTAAAAAGAAAAAAATCAACATTAAGTAGTGCTCCAGGCTGCGTCTAGTAAAGGCACACTAAAGTGAAACGATGGACTGATAAATTATGTTTTCAAAAGTCTACTGTCGCTATAGTTTCACCACTGGAGGTTGGTTTAATTGATGAGAAATTCAATGTCATAAAGCTATATCTTTAAATTTCTCGCTAAATTCTTTCATGAAACGCAGAATTAATTGATGAAACTTATATTTTACCAATTAAGAAGTGCATAGCCAGACGCCGTCAAAGTCTGACGTCACGACGACTGGGGAGAGAACTTCTAGGTGGCGTTGCTTCCCGCATTTTCCTTTTGGCGTTTTCCCGCTTATCAATGACTTTCTCGCAGAAAGCAGAGTGTTCTTCTAATCGTTAGGAATAACTTACGAATACGGGAAAAAGTCATTTTTCTCTTCAGTGTGTATATGAAGATTGAACCAACACAGCAACGCACCTTCGCCTTCGTTCTTGGGTAGTTCATCGTGACACGGACCTGCAATGACAGAGGAACAAGTGCCAATTAGGCGACGGCCAGCAATACACACGATCATGCAGACACTATGCAAGCAAACGAGCGCACTTCGAAGGGCTGCTGTCCTGTGCACCCTTTTGACCTGCTCCCGCTGAACGGCCCACCACTGGCGCCTACGGCGCTCCACGCGAAGGGCCATGTTCATGCGAACGTGGTTCCTCTCCGAGAAGCTCTCTTTCACAGCCATGCTGTTTTCTCTTGCAACACTGTCGGTGCCGAAGCTCATAGATTTTAGTCTGTGCTTGCCTGATGGCTATGGGCGAGAATTTTGACGAGAGTCCAATAGGGTTTTAGTTCATGCTTGAGGCGGAAGACGCAGACGTCCGAGTCATCCCGGACTGGGGCAGAACCCCGGATCGGGGTTGACAAGCCGCCCGTCCACGCCGGTGGCCGATAATGATGATGGTGAATCCACAACCATGGCTCATATCCACTCAGGGGGATCGGCCAAGAACTACGAGCGATGCTATGAGCGACGAAACAGGGCGTTCGCGCGACGTGTCGCGTGCTCATTTTCGCGCGATCGCTCGGTTCTCCAGATTTGGAAACCATCGCTCATCGCCCGGAAGTGCTGGGCTCAAGCTGCCAATAGTGAAGAACCGGAAAAGACAAAGACTACATAGGTGCACGTGACCCTACCCGAGTCACGTATGCGCAACAAGAAATAAGGCAATGTTTACGCATGTGCATATAAAAAAGTGCTGCAAGGCACTCATAAACACTTTCCGTTCCATTACACAACAATATATCTTATTTTTAAATTGCATACCGCTCACTACGCGGTTTTTTTGGTACGAGTAGACGGCCTCATGCCCACTCATGCCAGCAACAGTGGAGTTCGCTCGCCGCAGCCGTCGCGTGAATGAGGTTTGCCTGCGCTAGCGACTGATCGCGCGAAGTCAATCTACGTCGCGTCGCTCGTCGCTGTCGCGTGCATTTTCGCGCTTATGAGGTTTGGCCCTTAGTGAGACTTTTTTCCGTATTCAATATTTATACCCGCCCGCCCTCCTTTCAGAAAAAAAATAAAGAAACTTACTTAAAACGGAAGGAGTGCAATAATTGTTTTAGCTCGTTCATATCAGACAATCCAGTCGTTATCTTGCACAGAAATCAGCGTGGTTAAACAAAAATTCTTTTTATGTGAAATAATTTCTGCAGAATTAATGTTCATGCAAGTAAAAGCTTAATGCGTTTAGTTTCATGAAGGTAAGTACAAACAGCATGAAAAGAGTTCTTGTGACTTAAGACCAGATCTGAAGCACCGAAGTAAAATGTGTTTTCAATAGTGAAGTTCAACCCTAGGCTAGCAAACCAGCGGCCATTGTGGACACTTCGTCGTCATTATTTTGCTATCGCTTGCGAAGCGTACGTTTGTCAATAAAATTACGATAATATATATATATATATATATATATATATATATATATATATATATATATATATATATATATATATATATATATATATATATATATATAAAGATTTATCTCTTCCTCTGCCTTCATCTCGATGGTTTCATGGACGTTAACTGCCGTCTTCTTGGCCAGTCCTCCATATAGTGGGTATAGGAGCCAGTTTCAACGAACAAGCAAGCAATCAAGCATCCGTTTTTTTTTTTTTTGAAGTGGTCGGATAGTTTTTGGAGCCCTCCACTGTGGCGTCCCTCATAATCATACGGTGGTTTTGGGACGTTAAACCCCACATATCAATCAATCAATCAATCAATCGATCAATCAACCGTTTCTTTTGGATTCGGTAGGTCAGTGGTAGTTGGGGTGTTCATACTTGACTTTGGGATGGACTCAGAAATCACGCAGGCCGAGCACAACGCAGGCTGAGCGTTCCAGTGTGCCACATAGCCAGCCACATTGGGGAGCAGTTATACGAAAATGTGAGAAGGTTCCTAATAACAATTTCACTCTTACTATAAGTTTCAATAATTCAACCATTTATTGGGAAATCTTTCGTAGTTGGTATGAGTCGCATGTGCAAAGGACAGCAACAAAGATGACGAAAACAGTGCAACAGCTTTTCAATCAATATTGGCATCCTCCGTAATGAGTGAGTGCCAACAAAGAATCATCATTATCATCATCATCATCATCATTATCCCAGAGTAGGTGTAAACCAATAAATTTAGGGATTTAGATTCACATGTGCTAGCGTTCATTACGAAACTCGTTTAGCGTCTGTGAATCTCTTCTATTATTTTAACCCCTTACGCCATCCCGGCCATCCACCCTAGTTGCAAGCAGATTAACTCAAGAGAGAGAGAGAGAGAGAAATGAAGTGGAAAAACAGGGAGGTTTTCCAAGCTATGCTTGGTTTGCACCCTATACACGCGTGGGGGAGAGAAGGAATAATATAAGAAAGAACTAGATAAAGAAAGAAAATGAAATGAATAGTTAGTGAAAACACACACAACACGGGCGTGCTGTTCAACCCGGGCTTCTGTGTATGCATCCATGGGAGAGGACCTTTCTAGAAGACGCAGTCGAGAAAGAAAAAGCAGTACAATTGCTAACTGTTTCCCTGTTTCCTAGCAGTGTTCGTTCTGTTCGCCCCCTTGACTGGTCGTCGGCAACTGTACACGCACATTACAACACCGCACGCACGAGCATATGGACTGCGTGTCAGTAATTGTAATTTGTAGCCCATGTAGGCTGCGGTGCTCCCTTTCAGCAATGTAGAGCTAACTAGGGTTGGTTACTTGTTTAAGCCGGGGGTGGCAGAAAAGTGCTTTGGCTAGTTCGCTATTTTTTGCCTACTTTCGTGCCTCGACTTGAACCAAATTGTCGATATCTTGTAATGTCGCAGAAGTTGGCTTTCAATTATATGATATGAAAACTTCCAAATTTGAATCTGTCGCTCGCATAACACAAAACCAAATTTCTTAACACGTAGATAAAATGCCATAAAAAAAAGCGGTTGCACTGTGGCATGGGGCTCATTTTGCAGACAACCTATTGCTGAACGCGACTTCAAACTAGTTGGAAGTGAATAGGAGAACCGAAAGCGCTCCGCATCCAGGAAGCTCTGAAGACGTCTGGTGAACTACATGTGTTAATTCTTAGAATTAGTTATGGACTGCAACTCGGAAATATTGACTACGGGGACTTCGCCATCACGCGAGAGAAAATTGTGATTGTGACTATTATTGTTTAGTCAGTAACATGGATAGAGATTCTCAGTGCTTTAATGCAACGCAAATTTTTATTGTCACGCTAAGGCTGATGCCTATAATATTTTTTAGAAAAGTCTCGAAATATATGTGAAGAGTCGCAAGACACTGCGCCATGCTGCACGGAACGATGCTTAAGTGAAGAATTTATGCTTTAATCTTACATTGACTTTGTAGGGATTTAGCCGTATATATTTACATTTACACCAAATGGCTCTTTCATTTATACATTGAAACAAAAACGCGACTGTTGTTTTCACAAATGCGGGGCTACGTCTGGGTAGATTTACTGTGCTTGGCTCAACTCGACTACTCTCTAGTTTTTCTACTTTTCTCTATTTTGGTTTTTCTCATTTTTTGGATATTTTTGCCCTTTCTACTTGGCGACTTTAGAGCTAACGATAATTTGATTAATTAAACCAAGCTCTTTACAAAAATAGGGTGCGCGGTCATATTCAGAACGCTGAATCAGCTCTAGGCCACGTTTCAGTTCGCCTCTCCGTTCATTGCGACATCGTTGGCGGTCACACGAGTATTTGTGGCGAAACGTCAAGCGGCAGACTTGATTGTCTTTTTTTCTTAATTTTCAACTTTTGCCTCTTTGCCGATCAATGGGCCCTAGAGCCGGTCTACAGGCCACGCCCAACTTCCTATACAATGACAATGCCGTCCTTGAATGTCGATGTCCTTCACTGCGACTTTGCAGTACGACAAGCACGTGTAACGGTGTTTGAAACACGATAGAGGCGAAATCACAACTCACGCAGGAAGCCACGGACGGTTATTCACTTTAATTAGGGATTGAAGACCCTGACTGCTGTGTTAGGTAACAGGTCCAATCGCTGAGTATCATGTCCCTATATTAGCGTTCGTTCGAGGCGATCCAGCTGATGATTAAGTGGAGGAGACAAGAGAGGCGGGAATACGGTGATTAATACGTAGTCTGCAAGATCGGTGGCCCTGAAACGTGCGCAAGAACGCTACAATGTATTTCGCACGTCCGCCAAGGAGAAAATTGGGTCTTACGCGATGAACGACCAGACGAGCGCAGCGCCTGCTGCCCAGACAAGGAGGAAGCATGCGGGGCGGGATATGTGACCAGGTCGCAGCGCGCTGGAAGTTACACAATAGATAGCCACATATACGGTGGCATGCGAGGTCACCCCTAGGCCAATTTGCTTCGTCGGTGCCGCTCTCGCGGTGGCTAATAATGGCGATGGCGTGGCTTTTTTGGGGCGACACTGGGTCCTGTGTTGTCACCCCCCCCCCCCCCGCCTTTCTCTCGCCCCGCCACCGGTGGCTTTCCATTGTGGCGCACTCTGCTGTGGCCGCCCGGCGACGACACGTCTTTGTGGAGCGCAACAAGGTCGCCCGTCACGGTCTCCCGGCGCCCAACGAGCACCGCTGAGAGGGCACAGCCTCGAAGAGAAGAGCGCCTCGAAGCCAGGAAGGACAGGAGGAGAAGTACACCGTTAGCCACGTGCCAAGTTTGTCACGTGCCAGCGACTCTCCAGACAACGGCACGCTCGCCAGCTTGCGCGCCAGTGACTCGTCATCTTCTCCTGTGTTTATCTCTCTCTCTCCCTCTCTCTCTCTCTCTCTCTCTCTCTCTATCACACACACACACACACACACACACACACACACACACACACACACACACACACACACACACACACACACACACACACACACACACACACACACATACATACATACACATCATGGCAATATCCTCGCGTCTATGGCAACGCAGTAGGAGGCGACGGTATACAGTGCG